GATAGACAAAAATATATGTGTATATAGATTATAAAATGTATAGAAAATATATCTGTATTTATCTGTCAGTGCTCAGTGATCCCTGTAAATTGCCCAAGCACAGGGTGTCTGATTTACCAAGACTCCTTCTCTGCTCCTGCTGTATAGTATCACCAGCAGAGGCAGGAAGTCCCAGCCAGCCAAGTATGCAGTATCAGGCCAGCAGGATCAAATCCAAATGATCTCCCAAGCCAGCTCTTGAAAAGGAACAGCATTGGTGACCCAAAACGAAAGGGAACATAGTAGAACTGAAGCGTTCAGGAAGGGCCACGTGAGGTCTCCCGCTAACTTCCCAGGCTCCTAAGGAAAAGTTTTATGTCCTTTTAAATATTGGTTGTTTAGATTGGGATTACCCTGAGAGCAACAGACTGCCATCATTGTGATGACCAGTGCCCAGAGGAGAGAAGCTCTGTCTCTGTTTGTTTGGACTTGAAGCAGATGCCTTCCCTGCAGCCTGCAGGCTGTAAATGTTTCGTAATCGGGGAGGGGATGGGGGATGCTTCAGTTCCTGCTGGAGACAGTGTGACCACAAAAACAATAGGAAAAGATGGAACAAGTTGAGGGAGCAGAGTCTGGAGAACTTTCAGTTCATCACAGGCTCCCTGGCCATGTGCTTTATGGCGTGAAACATTCAAGGCAGAATGTAACACTCAAGAAAATAAAGGGAATATGCGACCAAGTAATATTGGTGTGGAGGATTTTAGTTGTGCTACCTGCTTAGAGAAGATCAGTTACCTCCAGTTAGTGGGAGGTGTGTTTTCCAGAAGCATGAGTCTGTGCCCAAATTAACCACGTGTGAAAGGATCCCACTCACTTCCCTGTCCTACTCACTTTGTTTGCTGCTACCCAGTGACTGGCAAGGTTGGTCTTGGCAGGCAGTACCTAAACTGTTCAGTTCCATCTCAAAGGATGTTTATTGCTTACCTACTACATTCCAGATACATGGGTGGGAACAGGATGAAAATAAAGAGAAGTAGATCGCCTCGCAAGAAGCACACCATCCAGTCAGAAAGCCAGCAGAAAAAGAAATGATTGCAAAATGGAAACTGTGTCCTCTAACGGGGATGCTAACATAGTCCTAGCAGAGTGACGGGAAACAAGAAAGAAAGAGCACATAAAACACAGATGACCAACTTGTAGTAAATTTTAACTGAAGAATCGGATGACATCAAGAAATATTGAATTAAAGCAGAATCTTTGGTTCAAAGAAAAAATATTTGAGTCATCTCCAAGAGATACGTTCATCAGTTGTTTTAAAAGAGATTGTGTTTTTCACTTGCAAAGCAGTGATTTACTATATCTAGAGAGTTAAATCATTTTGCTTCAGTCATTGCATACATGATTAATTAGTCAGCGAATTAGAAAATCATGCCTTAGTGGGATCTAATTTGTTTACTGAGCTCAATTTATTTGAGGGGCTTCGTATCCAGATAAAATCTTTTTTTAAAAGAATCTCTCTACCCAGCCTTCTCTAACTACCCAATCCTTTCATCTTTCAAAAGTAATCACCAACTTCAAATGAGGATAACAAAAATGGTTGAATTTGGACCTGAGTGAATGACAGGTTATCCTCTTGGTTTAATATGCCCTCCGTATTTTAAAGAATGATCTAGTTGAAAAGACAAGATTGGAAATTTAAAAATAAATCTACCAATTCCAGGTTTGGATAAAGAATTGAAAACATGGCTCCTTTGTGCTTCCAGGACTTTCATTGATTTGGCCTGTTTTGGACACAATCTGTTATTTTCAGCTATGGCCCCCAAAAGGTTCTGAGAAGTCTGTGAATAATTTATCCACATACTCTCAGAGTTTGTCAGCTTTTACCTGGACAGAATCACAGAATCTAGTTCCTTCCCTGTGAATTAAGTTTTACACTCTGTGATCTTAAGAACCTGAGGACATCAAACCATCAGCTGGACACTTTACATGAAATCAATAACCTTTATCAAATACCCACTATCAGCCAGATAGTTCTGCTGTTTCAGTCCTTGAAGTACAGCTCTGCAAGAGTAACATTAGGCTCATTTTATAAAAAAAGACACTGACTTGTGCAAAGTCAGATGGCCAAGAAATGGTACAGTAGGATCGAAAACTTCATAGAAACGTAGCTGAGTAGGTGAAGGAAACAGGATTGAGATCCTGGTCTTTTTCATCCAAAGCCTAGCCCCTGAAGGAAATCAACACCTCAGTTGCATTGAGTCCCTTTTCAATACCACTTAATATAAAATATTTGCTTGGAGGAAGAATCTTCTGCTAAAAGATAAGAAAGACTCTCCACTACCATTTATAGGGTATCCATTGTGTACAGGTCTTTTGCTGGGAAAATGGAGTACAGACACAGGGGCTCCATGGTTCATACTCCAGTCAAAAATAGAAATAATCACAGACCAGTGACTAGCTATCCACATACACATGCAGTAGGGGTGGGGTGTATTTATTTATTTCTTAATTCAACAAATAGTGATTATTGCTCTTTTTGGACTATCTGAGCCTATATTTACATATGAAAAATAAGGACAAAAATGTCCTTGCCTACTTCCCCAGGCTGTTGCATGGATTCAAATAAGGACTATGTAAAATCAGATGTCTATAAACTGCACCACTACCACAGGCTTACTTAAACACTGAGGCCAGTCCATATAGAAGTTCAGAACTTCCAGAGTTTGACTATTTCTGCTCAGTGACCTAAGGCATTATGTGCTCTTGCTATAAGCCCCCATCTCTTTATTTTATTTTATTTTTTAACTGAAGCAGGGTTGATTTATAATATTGTGTTAATTTCAGGTGTACAGCAAAAGGATCCAGTTAAACATATATATGTCTGTGTATATATGTTAATTATATATATTGTTTTCAGATTCTTTTCCATTATAGGTAATTACATGATACTGAATGTAGTTCCCTGTGCTACATAGTAGGTCCTTGCTGTTTATCTATTTTATATATAGTAGTATGTATTTATTAATTCCAAGCTCCTAATTTATCCCTCCTCCTCTTTCCCCTTTGGTAACCATAAGATTGTTTTCTATTTCTGTGAATTTCTTTCTATTTTCTAAATAATTTCATTTGTATCATTTTTTTAAGATTCTACATATGAATGATATCATTTGATATTTGTCTTTTTCCATCTGACTTACTTCACTTAGAACAAAAATCTCTAGCTCGATCCATGTTGCTGTAGATGGCATTATCTCATTCTTTTTTCTGGCCAAGTAATATTTCATTGTGATATATCTATATAGAGAGATAGATAGAGATAGAGGTAGATATATATCATGTCTTCTTTATTCATCTGTCGATAGACATTTAGGTCACTTCCATGTCTTGGCTTTTGTAAATAGTGCTGCTGTGAACATTGAGATAAACCCTCATCTCTAAAGTTAACCTGAGTAAATGCTTATTTCTTAACAACAAAAGTACCTGGAGAACACTTGGGGTATACAGGCTCTACACCCAGATACAGCACCAGAACTACCATTTCTAAGATGAAAGCTCCATGGATGCAATGAAGAGAGTGTACATTAGAGCATCCAGTAGACTAAATCCTGGCTCTGCCACTCACTGGCATGAGACCTTGGGTGTATCATTCAAGCTCTCTGAACCTTGGTTTCTTCACCTATAAAATGGGTGTATTAATACCAATCTCATAGAGGTGTTGTAACAATTAAATGAGAGTATGGATATAGAGCTCTGGTGAATTGGAGCTACTTGGTAAATTGTGTAAGTGGAAAGTTGTATATGCCTGGTTACTGGCATTAATAACACTTAACTCTGTTTCTGTTTATCATTGTCTCTTTATACTTGAATTGGTGGAGGTAACCTCAAGAAAGCTGGAGAGAATGGATTGGGTATGGCTAGCTTTTGTCACCTCTCACCTTCCCTGTCACCTTCTTTTGTGAACCGTGGTCTCATAGCAGGATAGAAAGGCTCATACTTGGCCAGGCAACTTTTGAACTAGCAGAAAAGCAAAGGACAGCTATTCTAGGTGGTGTCTTGTGACTGCTTCCTTAATGGGTAGGCCTCCAGTGGGGTACCTCCAACTCTCCTGGAGGTACTGAGGTCCTTCCCAGGCAGCCAGGAGCCTGCACCAGCCCTCTGTCATGGGTCCCATATCTTATCCTGGGGAATTGCTTATGTGTCCATTCCCCAGCATGCTCTGGAAATGCAGGCCTGTGGCAGCCCAGCAGCATTCTCCCAGAGCTAGCACCAGAGTAGCTGGGGGATCCTTCTCTGGCCTTTGGTTTCCCTGGAAGGAAGCAGTCCCCGGGCCACAGTGCCTTTAGTCAGCATTTTTCACTTCTTAATGAGACATTAGTTATTTAAGTCACCCCAACACAGGGGACACATGTCACAGTCCTCCAGGTGTGTCTTGAAACCTCTTTCCATCAGATTTGTGGTTAAACTAGAGGTGAGCAAACTTCTGTGAAGATGGACTCTCCATCGGAGCACCAGAGCAGCCATGGATGCTGATACTGACATAAATGGAGTGGCTGTGTTCAACAGCATTTTATTTGTGGACACTGAAATTTGAATTACAGTGAATTTTCATAGGTCACAAGATATTCCACCCCCGCCCCGCCCACACACACATTTTACATTTTACAAATGCCAAGACCGTGATGAACTCATGGCCATATAAAACCAGGCGGTAGACCAGATCTGACCTGCAGACTGTAGTTTCCTGACTCTGGGTTAGATGATAGAACCCCTGCCCCTCACACCTCACCCCCGCCAGAAAAAACAAGAACAAAATGTGAAGTCACACAGGATGTAGGCACTCTTACCCAAAAGACCTCCTCACTAATCTGTTCTTACAAATCTCACTCTCCACACTCTGGCCTCTTTCAGTAACCTCAAAAGTGGGCCTGGGGTATGGGTGGAGGGCAGCCTGTCAAGAGTGCTAGACCAGTTTATTGGGCATTTTCTTTAAAAATCTGCATATACACATTTGTCTTACTCACCTTGTTCTTTTGAATCTGTCATATTGACACCTCAGTTGAAACAGACAGAAGGAGTTCCATTCTCAAAGCTCCTTGCAGTAGTCGTTACTGTTGCTCTCATCATCACTACCCAGGATCTACCATTAAGAGTCAAAGAACAAAATATAGTTGGGTGGAATAAATGGTAGAAATTCTGTCTTCTTCAATTGCCCTGCTAAAGTTGTTGATTCATCATGATCAGGAAGCACATTCATTCTCTACCTAGTTTGGCTCATCTTCTCTGTCCTAGAAGCATGTCTGAGGTGAGAGTTGGGGCTTTTATTTTTTTCCCATTGTTGATTTAGTTATTCTTATGAATGTTGGCTTTGGGGGATAATGAGACATCTTTCAAGTTCTGGCTTTGTCCACAGGAACAGAATTTGGCATAGAATCAGTTGTCTTAAGGGGTTATGGAGCCGAGGTATTTCAACTTCGTGTGGACTCATTTTTGCATCTTTTCCACAGCAAGTTGGTTTTAAGTATATTAAGTAGCAGATGTCTGTATACTCCTGTGGAGGCCATTTTTGGCAAGAGGACTACTTTGACACCAAGCTTCTTTCAGCTTTGATCATGTTTTTAACCTTGGAGACTCTAGGATTTACACTAAGGAAAAGGGAAGCTCAGCTTAAAGGAAAAATGATAAAAGTCTGGGTTTTTTAAAACCAATCTCTTTTTCCTTCTGGAAGCATTACTCTGTTGTAATAAAGCTGTAGTACATCAAATGGATATTAATGTGCATCATATCAAGGGATCAATTTCTGGGCCACATTTTTCTGTGAATGCTCGTACTTTAGAGTCACAGAAGGTCTGCCTTCTGACAAGTTCAAAGCACTGAGGAAACATGTCCTTCCTTTGCTTCACATTTCAGAGAATCAGGAGGGTACAGTCATAATTTTTCTTCCATTTTTCCAGGTGATGAAACTGAGGCCCAGAGAGATTTTGGGAGAAATAGGAGCACACTGCAGGTAAGAGGACACCTCGAATATCACTTCATTTACAGACCTCCACACCATTTCACTTAGGTGATGGTGCATGTTCTTCTAAACAGGGCCATAGAACAATTTCTCATATGTAAGTGTACTTAATGCAAGATGGGTTTTTTTAAATGTATTAACATTCCACACCTGTAAACCAGAAACAGTATTTTCTAGATTAAAATCAGAATAGTCAGACTCAGAGACCTAAGGGGCCATAAAATTCTGCTTACTCATTTTACATTGGGGAAAATGAGACCCAGAGGGAATAAAAGATGTTCCTAGGTTATCCAGCTAATTGGAGACAGAAAGACCAGGTCTCCTGACATATTGTGACCTTTTCACTAGACTCAGGATTGAAAATACACTCCCTCATTTGGGGCCAGGAGCAGACATCAATAATTGATCACACCACTCTTTTCTGCCGAGCCTAGTCACAGTCTCACAGTCATTCTGGACATAGCAGTCCAGGTGGCCATACTGAATTACTCAGAGCTGACACTAGAAATTAAACCTATTTGCCATCCATAATATTAAAATGCCTAATACAGTTTCTAAAGCTATTCATTGATAGGCACGTGGTGTATAACAGGCCTAGTACACACGGTGATTAATTGCAAACTCTATGAGGTTGGCATTATTAGAGTTCTGGAAACCGAAATCCAGAGAGATTGTATAACTTACTCAGGATGACAGTAGTGACATGTATTCAGCTAGAAGCTGGTAGGTAGCAGACTGCAGATATGTCTCTAGGTCTTTAAGAAAATTTATATGTATATTTATATAGATACATAGATACACATAAATATATGAATTTCACTTAAATGTTCTTTATATCCCATATCAGTCCCTTTAAAAATTTTTTAAAAAATTGTATATGTTTACAGTGTACAGTATAATCTAGTATGCATATACATTGTGAAATGATTATTACTGTTCAGCTAATTAACGTGTCTCCTCATATAGCTACCAGTTTTGTGTGTGTGATGAGTGCACATGAATCTGTCCTCGCAGCTTACTTCCATTGTTCGATTCAGTATTATTACTAAGTATAGTCATCATTCTTCTACATTAGATCTCTAGACTTATTCATCCAACATAATTGCAAATTTATACCCTCTGACCAACATCTCCCCACTTCCCCTACCCCTCCCAGCCCCAAATAACCAGTTCTACTCTCTGCTTCTATGAGTTTGAACATTTTTTTTTCCAGATTCCACATATAAATGACATCATACAGTATTTGTCTTTCTGTGTCTGGCTTATTTCACTTAGCATATTATCCTTCAGGTCCATCCATGTTATCATAAATGGTAGGATTTCCTTCTTTCTTGTGCCTGAATAATATTCCAAAGTATTATATATACCACATCTTCTTTATCCATTCATTCATCAACAGGCACTTGAGTTGTTTCCGTATCTTGGTTGTTGTGAATAATGCTGCAGTGAACATGGGAATGCAAATGTCTCTTAGAGATACTGATTTCATTGCTTTCATGTCTATACCCAGAAGTAGGGTTGCCAGATCATATGGTAGTTCTATTTATAATTTTTTTGAAGTATCTCCATACTGTTTTCCATAGTGGCTGCACTAATTTACATTCCCACCAACAGTGTACAATGATTCCCTTTTCTCCACATCCTCACCATACTGGTTATCTTTTGTCTTTTGGATAATAGCCATTCTAATAGGTGTGATGTGATACCTCATTGTGGTTTTGATTTGCATTTCCCTGATGATTAGTGTTGTTCATTGCCTTTCATGTATCTGCTGGCCATTTGTATGCCTTCTTGTGAGAAATGTCTTTTCAGGTCTTTTCTCCATTTCTTCATTTGGGTTATGTGTTTTCTTGCTATTGAGTTGTTCGAGTTCCTTATATATTTTGGATATTAACCCCTTATAATGTATATGGTTTTCAGATATGTTCTCCCATTCCATAGGTTGTCTCCTCATTCTGTTAAGTGTTTCCTTTGCCGTTCAGAAGCTTTTTAGTTTGATGCAGCCCATTTGTCTGTTATTTCTTTTGTTGCCTATGCTGTTTGGGGCCCCCAAAATAATCATTGCTGAGACCAGTGTCAAGGAGTTTTTTTCCCTGTGTTTTCTTCTAATAGTTTAATGATTTCAAGTCTTATATTTAAGTTTTCAGTCCATTTTGATTTGATTTTTATATATGGTGTGAGATAAAGGTCTAATTTATTTCCTCTGCATTATATCACTCTCTTTTGAATACAGTTTTTATATCATCTTCATCCTGTTTTTTTCCCCTTCAATTATCTTCACTTTGGATAGGTGGGTTAGTTGTTCCTTGCTGAATTCAACAGTCAGATCAGATGCTCCAAGTTCACTGAATTAGAAACACAAAGCGATTTCCTATCTTTGCAATCTCTCCTCCGTTGTAACTTGCTGCCGGTTAGAAATGGCCTCTTCCTGAAAGGCATAGTTGGTGGAACAAATAAACTACCTTTTGTTAGGGATTTGCTGTGGCCCTCCCCCGGGTCCCACCCCCTCACCACATCCATTTCCAAAGCCCTTACACAACTTCCTCTGCCTCCCTGTCCTCAAGTGAACATGAACAAATTCAGCCCTGCTGTGTCTGGCATTTTAAATGGAGCTGGGGCCAGGCCAAAAAAAAGTATTCCAGCATTTTCTAGCAATTCACCAGCAAAAAGATTAAGAAGGATTTATAGCAATTTTCAGTTATAGGTAAACGCCACCAGAGTAGCTTAAGAGACTGGGCGTACATTCTAGAACCTTTTGCCTATAGCTTGCTAAATCAAAAGGTGCGGGGGCGGGGGGGGGGGACAAAATCAAGACCCAAGAGAAGTAAAAGTTACACTGCCTGTGTGGTTTTTTTAGCTGTCTCTAAATTAGTTAATGGTCCATCCAAGTCTACGAGGGTAAAGTCCACGAAAGATCACAACAAAATGCTCTTTTCTGGACACAGGCGCACATCCGCTGAGCCACTCTTTGCTCATCAGACATGGCCAGTCTCCATTGACCCAGTTCGACTCCTAGATTAGAATCTGGGAATTCCCACTAATGCCTCGTAACTTTAGCACATGGCCTTAAGCCCATTTACTCACAAGATGGACCCAGTTTTTAAATACCACTGGTCCCTCTCTACACCTTCCATTTGAAGTCAAGGGAAATCAATGGCCTTAAAAGATCCTCTTAGAAGAGTACACAACATTTATTTTCCTGGTAAAGAAGATGAAAACAAACATCCTTCGTGTTTGCATATATGAGAGCTGAGATTCTAGTCCCCCTGGCAGAAGCCAAACGCTTGGCCAGCCTCTGGACAGTATTTGAACAGTTTCAGATGTCGGGCTGTACCTGGCTTCTTAGAAAGATAAACGGCCTCTGGGCCCCCGAGCGTGTTGGCTGTGACCGCTTGCTTTGCCAGCGTAAAAATGTAAGCTACCAAGAAGAGTTCATCCTATCGGAAGGCGTGGGCTTCATCAGTAAACAGTTTATTCTGCACCTTGTTAATACTGAGCGATATTTAATGTAAACTCTGAATTATTCAAGCCTCATGCAGCATTTAGAAACACAGCTGCACCTCCTGGTGTTGTGTTGAAGTTCCCTTGTTTGGTCTCCATCAAAATCATGCAGAAGTAATGAGTTGGGAAGAAAAGGTAAATAGTTCTTGATTTCATAATTTATATACAGCTGTGTTTGTAAGCACATGGTAGTTCGGGTAGGCAAATGCTGTCTGGTTCTTTGGTTCAGCTGTGTGGCTGACATCCCTCAAGAAGCACGGAGTCGTTACAGACGTATTCAAGTGAAATTTGATCAGCATAGACAGCCAATATAAATAATCAAAGCAGTTTATACTAAGTGCCATAGGAATCCTATACAGACGATATATTAACACTTAAGGGAGAGAGAGAGAGATCCCTTCTGTCTGCCTTCGATGATGCTCAGAGATTTCTCAGAGGATGTGAGACTGAAGGTGGATATTGGGTGGTGTTTAACCAGGCCAAGGTGACAGAACCTTCCAGGCAGGACCGTTTAAAAGCAAGGCCTGATGTCTAACCGTAGGTAATTTCTGTGCTTCCGTGTCCATCTGCTCTAGCCTAGGTTTGTTTTTTTTCTGGCTTTTCTTTCTATATATAAATATCCTCCCTACACTTTATATCTTTCCTAAATCCTAATTATAAGAGTTCAGTCTTTGGGGGCAGAGACCGTATCTGTGTCCTCCTTGACTTTTCACACACTATTATTATAATACCTGGGGTACGGTGTGAGCTTAGTAAATGTTTATTGAATTAGAACTTGGGCCACAGTCTACTTTTGTTCCCTCATTTCCTTTCCATCCTAGCCCACCAGCCATTCACGTTTGCCTCCTGTCTGCTGCCATTCACCATGACTGAGACATGAGAGGTGGTCCACACACATTTGATGAAGGGATGGACAGAGCAGCTGGTGATATTGGTGCCAGAAACAGTGCCCACAGTTGTGTAAACATGTTCACCTTATTAGAGCGAGTATTGTTGTATGCAGGTTATTTGATTTTCAGATTAGAATTGCAATGCCCAGGCCCAGGGCTGAACCCTTCTTATGTGTTATCTGATTGAATCATCTCAGCAACTCTGTGAAGTCAGGACCACCAGGCTATAGATGATCAGTGTCAGACTCAGAGAGGGGAGATCACTTGCCCAAGTTTCGCTGAGATTGTACACAAGGGAACTGGGATTTGGGCTTCTAAATGTGTCATTTCAGAACCTGAGTTCTTAAGTCTGTTCAACAGTAACACCATTATTTCATTCACTATGGTAAATGACAAAGTACTTGCTAGACCTCTCCTTAGAGCCCACTGACCCCCAAGGAGTACAGAGGAAGAGGAGAGGAAGAAGGATGGGAGAGGGGAAAGGGATCAGACAAGGTGCCTCAATTGAGGGCTGAGATTGGTTCACACACGCATACGTTTTCTCAGGACCATTTTGTTTATATTTGAATTGCTTCCCTACACTTCCAGCTGCTTAGTGAATAAAAAGCACAGGAAATGCAAGTTTATTAAGTAAAGTCTAAATGGGAATATCAAAGCAGTGGGGCAATGTACTCTAGAGTCATCTCTGAAGGACTTTTGCTTATCTGCTCTGTGTAGTTATTCCCGCCACTGTGCACCAACTTCTGGGTGTATAATTGAGAATGTCTAAAAGTACCTTCCCTCTCTCAGCATCTGCTCGGACAGTGATACTTCCAGCAGCACTATGGAAACAGGCTTAGTGAATAACAAATCTTGATCTCAGGTGTCAGCCAGGTATGTAGCCGACTATGATTCCATCTCCTCCAAATGCCCGTTTCTTGAAACCTAGATCATCTTTCATCTCCAGGAGCGGGTTCATATCCATATTGGCTAATACCTTGGTTCTTACTGGACAGTGGACAGGTGTGATCAGAACCAGGTAGCTGGATGCAAGGCCTGGCTTGTACCTAAGAGGGAGAGAAGGCGAGACAGGAAGGTGCTACATACCTGTCTACACCAGACTTGGCTGCAAAAGCCTGCCTGGAACTAGAAGCTTAGGTCTTTGAGGTCTCTGTCTGGGGAGATGAGGATTTAAAAGTCTCAAAGAAGGAATTTTCACAAATTTAAGTCTGGAAATTTTTCAGTAAATTTAAAATTTAGTAACTGTATAAGTAAAGGGAGCAAAAATATGGCTCTAGCAAGAATATTTTGTTGGCTTTTTTTTTAACTAAAGAGGAAATAAAGCCATATATATAAATATATATATATATTTGTATATATATATATTTCTCTATATATATTTGTAGTGTGTATATTTATATATTAGTGTAAGCAAAGTTTAATGAGCAGGTAATACAGTCACTGAAGAGAAAATTAAAATCATAAAAATGTAGTTGATGGCATCCACTCCTGTTTAAAAAGACTATAAATATATATAAGTAGATATTGGAATCAGGAGTTAACTTTTAATAAACACACAAAAAAGAAAAATCTGTTCACTTTAAGTCAAAGTGAAAAGAAAGAAAGGTCTGATCTTTTCCACAATAAATCATATCTAGTAACACTGGTGTTCATAATCTTAGGTCCTAAGAGACTAAAAATATGTTAAGGAATAATCTAATTTCAACTTGAAATTAGGTCGCATTAATTACTTTGTAAAGGTAGTTCTTACCTTCAGAAATAAACAGGAAACACATATTCTTTCCTGTCTGCCTCCCCTTAACTTCACCCCGCCCCAACTCTGATCTACTTCTTTTTTTTTCCCCTCATCTTTTTCATAGAGTGACT